AACCATAAACAATGCTATTATATGTTTCTATGATTCTATTTACACTAAAGTTTGATAAAAGGAAAAATATATATACTAATACAAGTTGGAATACTGATTACCTTCTGTAGTAATGACTGAAGGGTGAATAAGAGGGACTTCTCTAATAAGGTGGTTATGTTTTATTTTGTTTATCAGTATTCCATTCTTAGAGCTTCATAGTATTCCAATGTATGTGTATATGTTGTGTAAGACTGACTCTGTTCCCTCGAGAAAAAAAAAGAAAAATATTTGTTTTACTTTAGGCTTTGGCATCTGAATTGTATACTCATGTGGCAGATAAAGCAAGAGACAAGATGCAGGTGGATCAATAAAGATGTAGCTAACCATTTACTTTTTCCTACATCAGTCATTGCTTAACTACTTTCTCAATTGTTTGACTTTATTTGATTTTATTGATTCCTTAACTACTTGCCATTAATTACTACATTTTTTGTGTAATTACTACTACACTTTGCTTAACTATCTCATTTCTTGTTTAACTACTATTTTTGGCTTTGGGATTTTTGGGTCACACCTAGCGATGCACAGGGCTTACTCCTGGCTGTGCACTCAGGAATTACTCCTGGCATTGCTTGGGGACCATATGGGATGCTGGGAATCAAACCCGAGTCAGATGCGTGCAAGGCAAACACCCTACCCACTGTACTATCACTCTAGCCCCTTGTTTAACTACTTTAACTACCTACTTAATTCTTCGTTAACTTAATTCTTTTAACTAGTTTTGGTTCTGTTCGCCTATTTTATTTTTGGTTACCATGTTAATCAACAGATTGTTTAATCACTTCTATTTGGCTTCTGTAAACTGGCTTGCTTACTCAGTAAATTTTGAAGAGTGGTTTGGTCCTTTAAAAAAAAAAACCCTTACTTTTTACACTCAGGACTGGCTCTCTTTCAGGCTGGGCTCTAAAGAGCAGTCACTGGGTAGCTAATAAAGGCCCTCAGATTTGAGACAAAATTCTGACTTTGTGGAGCATTTTTGGGGTGCCTAGCCTATAACATGTGTATAAATATACACAACTTTATATTTTCATTTATTATTTTATTATTTTATATTTTTAGACACTGTGGTTTACAAACTTAAGGTTTCATGCATAAAATATTCTAACACTACACTCTCAACCATTCTGTTTCCTTCAGTGAGTGACCCAGTGTCCCCTACCCAATCTATTCCAATAAATCCTATTCCTGTGGTAAGCTTTCTACTGCAGACCAATTCTGTTTCTTTTGCCTTTGTGCATTTGTTCACTTTACTATGTTCCTTTGTGCATTTGTATCACTTTACTATGTTCCTTTCTATCTCACATATGAGTTCATTCTGTGTATATGAAGTTTCTGATGTGAATAGGTGTGAACATTATTCCTGAGCTATTGCTTATCCGTGAAACTATTGTTTCTTTAAATATAAATGGTAGAATATCTAGGTACTCTTGAAGTGTTCACATCACTGAATCACTGAATTATTTATACTAAATTCCGCCCCCCCCCCCCTTTTTTTAGCACCTGTAGTCTCAATTTGCTGTGAATCTTAAGGAAGCTCCTTTGTCTGTGACTTCTTTGACCTTGCTTCAATATTCTGTGTATTTTGTTGTTCTGGGCTGGAGCGATAGCAACAGGGAGTAGGGCATTTGCCTTGCACGTGGCCGACCCGGGTTCGAGTCCTCTGTCCCTCTCAGGGAACCTGGCAAGCTACCGAGAGTATCCCGCCCGTCAGCAGAGCCTGGCAAGCTCCCCGTGGCGTATTCGATATGCCAAAAACAGTAACAAGTCTCACAATGGAGATGTGCCTGGTGCCCACTCGAGCAAATTGATGAACCATGGGAGGACAGTGCTACAGTGCTATTTTGTTGTTCTGATTATGTTTGGAATATTATTTGTCTCTTTTGACTGTGACCCTTTGGGCCTCTTGAATCTGGTAACATGCAGCTCTAAACTCTGGTAACTTTTTAGTTCTGCTTTCTGATTGATGGTTATTCACTTCTTGATTTTCTTTCTGAAATTCCTGATTATGAGGCTATACTTCTTGGTATGATAAATAATATTCCTTATGTAATCTTCACTTTTTCTCCTCTCTTTTCTATTGCTTTTTCCTCCTTGCTTGATTTGTTTACATTGGGTGTACTGATTTCACTTTTCATCTTCATTCATACTTCTAAGACATATTTCTGTATTCTTTAGTTTCTTTACTTTCTTTATTTGAACAATTCCATTTTTTCCATTGAGTCTCTCTTCAGTTTCCTCTATTCAAATGTTACTTTCAGATCATTGAGCAACACGATGACAGTTGTCCGAAAGATTTCTTCATGCATGAGTGGTCATGTCCTTGTGAATGTTTTCCTTGTTGAAACTCAAGTTTCGTCTTCCTTGTACTCCATTAACTAGTGACAGGTGCTGGGTTGGACAGATGCCCAATTGGGCCTGAAACCTTTGCTATGCTAATCCAGGTTTTAATGGTAGAGAATTGTGGGGGGAAGCCAAGCCTACAGTGAGCCCTCATGATTTACAGCAGGGCTTTGAGTGAGTTAGGTGGAAGTTTAGTTTGGGAGGCCAGGAAGTGAGTTGGTGCTGGTGAGGGTGGGCAGAGCCAGATTTCATCTTGGTTCAAAAATCAAAAACCTAAATCAAAGTCAGAATACAATGCACCCCTTCTCCCAAAGCACACCCAAAAAAAGACAAAACAACAACAAAAAAAAGCACAGAAAGTTTGGGCAGGCAGGCCCTTAGGGCTGGCTCACTTTTAAAATCTTTAAACTTGAGATCTGTGGACATTATGTAACTGTGTAAGAATTGAAAAAAGGCACAGTGATATTGCATTATGGAATGGAGGATTTCACACACTGGGGTTAAATGTGTACTATATTTGAAGGACTGATATTTATTAACTGTGTAATTTTGGGAGTTATCTGACTTGTCCTATTTTTTTCTGAAAATGTAAAATATAGTACTAGAATTATTAGTAAAACAAAATATCATTATATCTTTTTTCTGTTAGGCACTTTTATTTTTAACAATTTAGTCCAAAACTTTGTAGTGTAGATAAAAACTGTACCATGTTTCTATGGATGAGATATTAGGAAGCTGGAAGATTTTGATGTCTCACAGATTAAATTTCAACTGTGGGGCTGCATTGTCTGAACTGATGAGGGTAGTGGTTTGCTTATTTTCGATAGCACAGCGGGTAGGACATTTGCCTTGCACAAGGCTGACCCAGGTTCAGTTCCTCCATCTCTCTTGGAGAGCCTGGCAAGCTACCGAGAGTATTCTGCTCACACAGCAGAGTCTGGCAAGCTCCCCATGGCATATTTGATATGCCAAAAACAGTAACAAGTCTCACAATGGAGACATTACTGGTGCCCACTGGAGCAAATCGAAGAACAATGGGAGGACAGTGCTACACTGTAAAAGTACTGCTACTTATTCAGTCATTGATTGATTAAGCTGATTGATTTGGACATGAACTTCACATAACTTTTCTTTTTATTCTGAATGTTCATTTTATTTTTATTACTTTTTTTTAAATTACCAAAGCTACTTCAGAGCTGTAAGTTGGAGCCATCAGCTGAGATGCCTATTTATCTACATGTTGTCTCTGATCTTTCAGTCTCTTACCCATCCATATTCACTAGAAGAGCTCAACCTAAACTTTATAGCAAACATGAGAATATCCCTAGAAGACCAGCTGTTTTATAATTCATCTTTCAAAGTGGCATCACAAACATTTCTATCATTTACGAATAAGTCATCAAACCTTACCAAAATTCAAGGCTATATAATCAGAGTAGATTACATAATTAAAGGATGTCTACACTCAAATGTAGTTGTATATTTAGTAATTATATATGGCAATATCACCATACTTACTCATATATTGAGTCTCAAAAAAGTGGCTAGAGAAATCAAAACTACAAAATCAATTGTCATCTACATTAATCAAATGACTTTAAAACAAACTATATATATATATATATATATTTATGTCCAAAGAATACAAATCTAAGAAATTATAATATCAACCAAAGGATTATAATCATCTATTGGGTAGGATCATTTATTAAGAGTTTAAGTTATTTTAGTCAGGAACCATGAGTTGATATTCCAAATTCTGGATACAGGACTTGCCACTTCTAAATTAGGGAAGTAAATAGAAAATATAAGCTATCTTAAATAGAAAGCAGGGAATGAAGCAATAGTTGCTGAAGTTACATGCCATGAGCATTAAATTGGCACCAAAATGAACTTGGCTTAGATATGAATGGAAAATAAAGCACAGTTTAAAAAACAAACTGCAAAATGGCATTTATTTACATTAAAATATGAATTACACACAGGTTTAATAGGCACAATCTGTTATGAACAATAGCTACTATCTTCTGTACAAGTATAATGAAAGAGCAATTTAGTGAGTGGTTTCAGTGAAAACAGTACCAAAACATTCCTGATGTAAAGTAAATTACTCATTCACATATTCTAATCATGTTTATATTTGAAAAGTTACATACTTCAAAATCACTAGTTATGCAGCCAAAATGTATTCTTTTATGAAAGATGTCTTCAGATAGGGATTTGCAAAAACATCCCTATCAGGATGGTTTTTAAATTTTTAATAACCTGCACTGACTTCAAGGCTATATATATAGCCTCCTAAAATAAGATTGAAGACAGACATTACTTCATATTTAAAAAGCTATACAACACTAGAGAACATGCTAAACTATTGCCCACAGATTCCAACACTGTTCTTCTACTTTTCACACACCAATTTAAATTCCAATATTATGTATAAGATTAGCTGCCATTTTGCAATCGTTCCTTTAAAAGGTGTTAAGAGATTGTCCTGAATGATCTCATATATTTTCAAATCAGGTCCTGGCCCTCCCGTTGATCATCGATTTGCTCGAGCGGGCCCAGTAACGTCTCCATTGGAGACTTTGTTGTTACTGTGTCTGGCATATCGAATACTCTCGGTAGCTTGCTGGGCTCTCTGAGAGGGGCGGAGGAATCGAACTCGGGTCGGCCATGTTGGCCGCGTGCAAGGCAAACGCCCTACCCGCTGTGCTATCGCTCCAGTCAAGCTTTTTAAAAAGTACAATAAAATGTTTTAGGTATCAGCTAATACTAAATCTGGAAATTTTGATAAATTGAGCTTTCCTCTTAAAGATCTTAACAAAAATATTTTAAAATTGTTTCTATTGAAGATTTATGCAAAGTCCAAGAGAGCATTTGAATATTTTCATAATTCAGTGAAGGATCATCTTTGGATTTCTCCATTAGTTCTGAAGTGTCAACATCATATGTATTTCTGTTTCCTATTACAGACATTACTGTACAAAGAAGTATTTGATTAAACTTAGGTTTTATTTTTACAGCAATTTCATTACTAAGAAAATATTAACATTCAGCTTTTTATTGAGAAGATGAAATATCTCAGAGTTCTTGAAATAAGTTTTCAGTGATAAAAATTCAAAATTCTTTCAAATTCAATAATGGATAAGGCTTTTTACACTAACCAAAGTATTGACCAGAATATACCTCTACTAAGAAAAAAAACTTCAGATAAGATGGGTATCACAGAAACAGGATGGCTCTACTTCTTTCTTGGTCTTTTTTTTTCTAAAAGAAAATAAACAAGACCAAGACAAACTGCTACAAATGCTGATTTGTAAAATCATTCCCATATTCTTCAACATTAAATTTCTAGATTGCTTTCAATATTCACAAATTTATAAATTTTCATTGACATCAACCTCAAGGCTGAAAATAATCCCAATGTGACGATCTTAAATGGTAGTCCTTAAAAGAGTTTTGGTCAACACATTTTCCCCATTTAAAACCAAACATGGGGAAATTACATAGAAAAGGTGAATCAAAGATGATTTAACAGTATAAACACAAGGTAAATCTTTTTCTTTTCATTTCTTTTTTGGTGGTGTTGGGGCAGGGGGCACCACAGGAGGTGGTGTGCAGGGCTTACTCCCGATTCTGCACTCATGAATCACTTCTGGTTTTGTTCAGAACCATGTTGGGTGCCGCGGATCCACTGGGGATCATTTTTGAACCCTGGTCCAAAGCATGCAAGGCAAATGTCCTACCCATTATACTATCACTCCAGCCTCACAAGGTAAATATGAAAATAAAAACATAAAACAAATACTGGGGCTTATTACTCCTATTTATCAAAGGTCTTAGATAATTGCTTGTGACATTAACACATTTAAAAAATGCGCCTGCTAATTCCTTACTGTTTTCTAACCAGGGAGAAACAGGGAAATTCAAGTAGCAAATGAGGAACAGCAGATGAAGGAACTTGATTATAATCTGGGTATTTCTACTATATTAAAATTTAAGAATAGAATTGCTATTTTAGAAACAAACATCCAATTTGTCAATTGACCCAGCATTTAAAAAACATTACAAATTACGTGAATAGGGCATACTTACAGGATACCTGTAAACTCAAATTTATTATGACACTCACAATTATTATATACACAACTCCATTAATACTGCTATGTGCCAACCAATATAAACATCCGACAACATTGTGTCTTCAAGTATAGTTCAAATTAAGTTATATGTGATAACCCAGAAAATTAAATTACCAGCTCCTACTAATACAATTTAGTAAGAACCGGGAAGTCTATATTTGGCATTAGATAATGTTTACAAAATATAAATTTTTAAGTGCATATGGTTTTAGCTACATCCAAAATCTCAAATATATAGCCACCCATGGCTTTTATTTCAACTCCAGAAATATGTGTTGGAATGAAATCTCTCCCAAACCAATTAAAGCCAATCTTACTATATTCAATCTTAAAAAAACAAATACAAAACTTTCACATATCTAAATGTTCCCCGTTGCAAATAACTATTTTCTAGACAGTTTTTTTGAGGTGGTCTGTGAAGAAGAAAAAATAATCACAACAGCATCATAAATAATCACTCCCCACAATTCAGTTGAAGTTGGTCTTTTGCAGATGCTTATTGGGAATTTCTAAAGCACTGACTTGGAGAGGCCAGGAGCCTCCATCAATCCCTGCCTGGATAGCCACTCCAGTCACCACTGCCAGGTCAGGGTCCACAGATGTGTTAGGATCCTTCCCAAAGAACTCCTGAATGACTTGGCGGATTCGAGGAATACGAGTCGAGCCCCCAACCAGCACCACCTCATCAATCTCACTCTTTTCCAAGTGGCCTTCTTTCAAAACTTGCCGAATGGGCACGAGTATTTTCTGGAATAGATCTTCATTAAGGGTATCAAAGAGCTGCCGTGATATTTCTGTTTCGAATAAAACATGATTCTCTCCACTCTTCTCTTCAGAAAGGTCAGTTCCAAACACACCATTTCCATGGTGGCCGTCTGCTGGGGAAAGTCTGTCATGTTGCAGTTGAGTGTCACTACTTTGAGGTCCCTTGATTGCCTCTTCCTCCACTGTTAGTAATACTGATAGCTGAGCAGATGGATGAAGAGTCAGATTTAATTTGACCATTTCTACAGCCTGTCTTAATCTGTGGATTTCTTCTTTCTTAGAAGGCAGGAAGCCATATATTTGATGGATCTGCTTATATAAGTATTGAAGCAATCTCTGATTGAAGTCCTGTCCTCCAAGTTTATTGTTTCCTAAGTTAAAGAGAAATTTATTATATTTCTGTATTTGTTTATATAGTATACATGTACAAATAATAATAATCAGGAATAACAAATATCTTATTTAATGTTATTAATATTTTATTTCTACAAAATCTGATTAAAAAAGTAAAGTAAAGGCCCTCCCGTTGATCGTCGATTTTGCTCGAGCGGGCCCAGTAACGTCTCCATTGGAGACTTTGTTGTTACTGTGTCTGGCATATCGAATACTCTCGGTAGCTTGCCGGGCTGGAGTGATAGCACAGCGGGTAGGGCGTTCGCCTTACAAGCGGCCAACATGGCCAACCCGAGTTCGATTCCTCCGCCCCTCTCGGAGAGCCCGGCAAGCTACCGAGAGTATTTGATATGCCAGACACAGTAACAACAAAGTCTCCAATGGAGACGTTACTGGGCCCGCTTGAGCAAAATCTGATTAAAATAACAATTTTAACTGAATGTCACTTTAAGAAATACTGAAAGTCAAGGCCAAAACTTTTAAATAATATGAGATGATATTCCTTAATTATATTAACTACATATTAATTTTCTGAAAATAAATTGAGAACATAGATTGGCTTTTAGTTATCAACTTAAAATAAGTACTAAACGTTAGGGTCAGAGAGATGGTACAAGCAGGTAAGGTGTTTGCCTTGCATGTGTCAACGTGGGTTTAATCACTAGCACCCCATAGGTTCCCTGAACCCCATACCAGGAGTGATCCCCGAGCTCAAAGCCAGAGGCAAGTCCTACGCACCAGGTGTGGGCAACCCCCCTACATCCCAAGTAAAATAAAATAAAACTAAACTAAATATTATTATTCTCAACCGAAGAAAATTTTTAAAACAGCATGATGAGCATTGTGTTCTGTTAAAAATATCCTTCTGCTGGTATGATTAAGAGTTTAAAATAGTAGAAAACATGATTTCACAGGTAAAAGAGAATGTAATCTACAGAGAACAACCTGTAACTTAACTATGCAGTAGATCAGTTCACAACAAGCTGAATTCTTTGAATTAAAAGTCTTCACAAAAATTTAAAATGCAAAAATCCTATAACTTTCTATAGAATACTATTAGTTCTCTTAAAATATTTATTTTGTTAAAAAGGTTATCAAATGAAATAATCTGATTATTCTTTATTTTAAAGAATTCTTTTCCACCTGTTCCCTTCTTCATGGACATAAGAAAGTTTGGGCTTGGTGAGTTAAAACTGGCAGTGACTGTCTTGACTTACAAGAAAGGCAGTCTAGCCAAATTTTTTCCTATAAGATCATGAGATTTTAGCATTAAAAAAAAAATCACACATGTAAGTTACCAAAAGGAAGTTAATACTGCAGATTTTATTCTAAGAAAGTTTATACATTACACATGTTCATGGGCTGGAAGTACTAACTTTCCCTATTTGTCTTACCAGACATTGCTCGAGTCAGAAACATTCCTCCTTGTTTATTCAGCAGTGACACATCGAGCGTTCCTCCGCCCAAATCTATCACCAAGACATGAAAGACATCAACCTTGTGGAGACCATAGGCCATAGCTGCTGCGGTAGGTTCATTTATCACCCTTAAGATCTTCAGTCCTGTAAGATTGGCAGGATGGAAGAAAAAGAAAGTGAGAGGATCCTAAGAAACTTCAGCAGTCAGAGAGCAATCTCAATGGACTGCGTGCATGCTTTGCATGGTTCAATCTCCGATGCTGAATAACCATCCCACAGCACCTAGTCAGGACTAGCTTCTCCTACAAATTCCGTACCAGTTAAATCTATATCAAGCTCTTATCTTACAAGACAGAAATACTACATAAAAATTTTTACAAAAAATGACACTTCAAATAATGAGAACAGACAGAAGAGTTCTAAATAGGTATCACTAAAAGCATTCTCAATGATTATAGAGAAAAAGCCCTCATTCATTGGAATATGTCACTAAATATAAAATCTCCCAGCCTCTTCTAATTTCATATTTTACTTGGAAGTATTAGAACAATAAAACTTTAATCACATGTACAAATACACATTTCTGAAGAAACTAGGTAAGTCACTATTTCCTCTAAAAATGTTTTTCTAGGGGCATGAGTGATAAGAGTACAGCAGGTAGGTCACTTGCCTTGCATGCAGATGAACTAGGTTTGATCCCCAGAGCCCCATATGGTTCCCCAGCCCTTGCCAGGTGTGATCCCTGAATGTAGTGCCAGGTATAAATCCTGAGCACCACTGGTGTGATCCAAAAACCAAAATCAAAAACAAAAGCAAACACAAAAACAAACCCCTCCCAATGACTAATAAAAAAGAAAGAGATGACTAAACAGAAACTTACAAAAGGAACAACTAAAAGATTCTAAATATAAGATCCTCAAATGTAATTCACACTTCCTTGATCAAATTTCTTGAAAGTTGACTATAATGCCATATTTAATGAATGGTCTGAAAAGTAGCAGCAATCTATAACAGGTACTTCAATTTTTTCTTTGGCGGGGGATAACATGAGTTTGAAGTATAGAAATGCTAATTAATTTATTTAAAGACAATAAAACCTTTCATCCTTACCTATGAAACTTTCTCAACTTTCTCTTCTCCAGTTACACTAGTCACTTCCTAATTTCTGTGTAGCAGCACATTCCCACTTTTTGGCTGCTACATTAACCTCTTTCTCTGAAATCTACTTCCATTAGCTTGATCAGTACCACACTTCCTTGAAATGTGCTTCACTGTCCCTTTCTCAACAATGCCTTCCTGGCCACTCTTTAAATCCTAAAAGTTCTGACTCCCTCTATCAGTACCAGCAATCCTTTAACACTTTTATCCAGCTCTTTTGAAATAGTAGGCTATTTTCAAGTATGTTTTGTATCTTGGTATTAAACCAGGGCTGATTTTGCCCCTGAGGGACATCTCTCAAAGGAAGGGGACAAAGATCTGTGACTGTTTGGAAGGCAGCAACCGACTACCATCTTAGTGAGCACAACTGGGGATGCTATTATATAATAAATACAAAACATGCAGATCAGTTTCCTAAACAAAGAACTATCAGCTCTGAAATGTCAATAATGTGAAAGAGCGCCCACATAATAATTGAATGTATTGATTTTCTTTTTCTTTTTAGTAAAATATAAAGTTCTATGGGAATAGGAATTTATAAGTACAATTTACAAGGCATTATTAATTGAAGGGTAACAAATGAATTCTCCCTCACCTTATTAAAAACATCATATTAATCTCATAATTTAAAAGAAGTTTAGGAGAAAAAATATTCATTGCTAAATTTTCTCAGTTTGTGGTATGCCTATCTAATTCATTATCATAATATACAACACTTTCCACTGTAAACTGAGTTACACTGAGCTATCTTTTATTAATAAAATTGATTTATCTACCGTATTGTTTTTATTTCTAATTTTGAACAAGAAATGCACCTTTACAGAAGATTTTTCAACCTAAGAGAATTGTAGGAAAAAGACAGTTCTGGCGAGGGCTGTTGAATTACCTGCAAGGTTGGCAGCTTCAACAGTTGCATTTCTCTGTTTTATATCAAATTCTGCTGGTACAGAGATAACAGCATTGACAACTGGCATTCCAAGGTATTCTTCTGCCATTTCCTTTAACTTCAATAACAGTCTAGACCCAACATATTCTGGAGAAACGGTGATGGTCTCATTACTTGTCACAGAAAACTCAACCAGCCCATTTTTGTTTAAAACCTGTAAATTGGATTTTGCAAAAATATATGAATGTACATATACATGTGTGTGTGCATGTATATATAATTATATACATACCTACTGAACTCATAAAAAATATCCTTACCTAAAGCAGGATATCTGTAATGTGACAAACACATGTACTAATATTAGAAATTAAATATTGTAAGTTATTCTTTAAAATGTATAAATTATACCATTATCTCAAATAATAGCAAAATAATGAAGTTCATCATGAAATGTATAATTAGAATAGCACTCTTGATTTTTAATTGTCAACTGAAAGAAAGACAAATGAGAAATGTAAGAAGTAACATTAAATCCTACATGTCTTAGGATCTTTTTTCTCTTAAATCTTGCTTCCAAGAAATTATTTTTTCCTGGGGGCTGGAGCAATAACATAGCAGGTAGAGCGTTTGACTTGCATGCGACCAACCTGGGTTCGATTCCCAGCATCCTATACGGCCCCCTGAACACCGCTAGGTGTCATTCCTGAGTGCAGAGCCAGGAGTAACCCCTGTGTATCGCTGGGTGTGACCCAAAAAGAAAAAAAAAAAAGTTCCTAGAACAAGAAAATATTTGTTCCTAGAATATTCTAGAACAAATTAACAAAGATTATTTTATTTCATTGTTCTTATTCATGAACTAAATGTTCATTTATATTGTTTCCATAAAACCATGTATTATCCATTTGTTCATTATCTCTGCTAATATGGCTATGCATTTAAAAGACAAAGGAATTTCCGAAACATATCATCCTACTTTCATCAACAGATTGTTTAATGTCATTTGTAAAAGAGTCTATTTTGGATTTGAGTTTCAATCAAGAAAACCTGACCATCCAGAAATGTGTTTCTCCTGTCTGGGAAACACTAAAACATGCTTATAGATAAAATTAAAAACGGTTCAGAGACCAGTATTACCATGCATGCTCACCTAACAGCCCCTAAATAAAATAGGACAAATAAAAAGGATTAGACCAATACTATGAAGAAACTAATTACTAAAGAAAATTAAAATGCCAAGAAACATTTATTTATTTATTTGCTTTTTGGGTCACACCCAGTGATGCTCAGGGGTTACTCCTGGCTCTGCACTCAGGAATGACTCCTGGTGGTGCTCGGGGGACCATATGGGATGCTGGGAATCGAACCTAGGTTGGCCACGTGTAAGGCAAACGCCCTACCTGCTGTGCTCCAGCCCCAAGAGACATTTTTTTTAAAATTCTGACCTAAGAAATAAAAAGGAATACATAAGTTAGATACCCTTTTTTTCACTTTTCTATTGGCAAAGATTAAGAATTTCTAGTAAAGATACTGGTACTATTTGGGCTGGAGAAATAGAACAGTGGGTAAGCTTATCTTGTACACAGCTGACCTGGGTATAATCTCCAGCACTGAATATGGCCCTGTGATATCCCCACCCCTCAGGAGTGATCCCTTAGTACCACCAGATGTTTCCTCCAAACAAAGTAAAGGTAAAAAGGTAAAGGCCCTCCCGTTGATCGTCGATTTGCTCGAGCGGGCCCAGTAACGTCTCCATTGGAGACTTTGTTGTTACTGTGTTTGGCATATGGAATACTCTCGGTAGCTTGCCGGGCTCTCTGAGAGGGGCGGAGGAATCAAACTCGGGTCGCCCATGTTGGCCGCTTGTAAGGCGAACGCCCTACCCGCTGTGCTATCGCTCCAGCCAAAAATATTTTTAAAATAGCATGCTTAGTATAATCCCTTTTGAAGTAAGCAAAGTAAACACACACACATATTACCTATCCATTCACCTATTCCTCCCTTCATCTTAAAATGGCCTTCATTGATTTCACTGCTACAAGTATCAAGACTGCAGAACAAAAATACAGTAAGGCCCTAAATCCTGAAAAGTACTGTGGAATCAGTAATTGACTTGTCCTACTTGCAACATAATTGACATACAGATTACCTCAGTTGAAATAGAGACTCTTTAGGCCACAATGAAATAGACTTGAGAGTTTAGAAAGACTTTCAGGTATATAAACAACTAACATGTGACAAATGAGCCAAGTATAAAGTGGAGCAAGGAAAAGCCTCTCTCATAAACAGTGCTGGGAAAATTGGTATTCACATGTAAAAAAAAATCTGAATTCAGAAACCACTCTTATCTCACAACATGCACAAAAGTCAATTCAAAATGAATTAAAGCCTGAATCCATTTATATTTTGGAAAACATTGGCAGTACCCTCAGTGACACCAAATCTAGAGGTATTTTTTAATGACTCAATGCCATTGGCCAAGAAAACAAAAGAAAAAACTAAATGGTATAAGGCAAGCATACCCCCTATTCTATTGGCCAAGAAAACAAAAGAAAAAACTAAATTAAATGGGAAAAAACTAAATTAAGTGGGGAAAAAACTAAATTAGGCAGCTCTTACACTGCAAAACAAACAATGGGCAGAATAAAAAGACACTGCACAGACTGGGAGAAATTATTTGTTCATCGCTCATTCGAGAAAGGGTTAATATCTAAGATATATAAAGCATTTGCAGAACTTAAGAACTAAAAAATCAAACCCATCAAAAATTGGAACCAACGCTTCATTAAAGGAGACATACCAATGGTGAATAGGTAGATAAAAAAAAAAAGCTCTCCATCATGTAACATTAGAGAAATGCAAATCAAAACAAAGAGACACCATCTCAGGTCAAATGGCACATATCAAAAAGAACAAAAGTGTAGAAGTGAATGAGGGCAAAAATAAACCCACCATTCACTGCTTGTGGTTGACTGGTTCCACTCTTGAGAAAAAAAAATGGACACTTCTCAAAAAACTCAGACTTGAGCTTCTACATGGCCCAGCAATTCTACTTCTTGGGCTCTACCCCAAGGGTCCAAAATCACTATTTCAAAAAGACATTTGTATCCTATGTTCAATGCGACATTATTCACACTAACCAAGAGCTGGGAACAACCCAAGTGTCCATCCAAGAATAGGTGAGTGGATAATGAAACAGCGGTATACAGTGGAACACAAGTCGGCTATAAGAAAAAAAAAAAAAAACGGAATCCTGTAATTTGCCACCATATAGGTGGAACTATAGGGTAATACGCTGAGTGAAGTCAGACAGAAGGAAAGGCATAGATCCAGAACATTTAATATATGGGATATAAAAAAACATGGGATGGGAATAAGAAAATGGTTAAAGCTGCAGAACCTGAGAGCTGATATATAGAACTGAACTAATCAAGGGCAGGAGAGATGAGAGAATGTGACAGAAATGGACATTGGTGGAAGGCGTGGCGTTGGAATGTTATAGGCATGACACCCTAACATGAACAGTGTTGTAAATCACAGTGCTCCAAATAAAAATATCAGTATGAATTAAAAAAAACATACAAAGGTTTTTAAAAAAATATATATTTATTTGATCATTTACCTTAAAAGGGTATCTGCCAATTTCGGCCTCCAGTTCTTCTTGGGTAAAAATCTTGCCTATGAATCTTTTGGCATCATATATTGTGTTTTGTGGATTTGAATCTGCCAGCTCTAAGCTGTCATACCCCACATAGACATCACTGTCAGTAAAGGATACCATGCTGGGTATGCTGCTATGCCCATTTTCATCGGGAATAACCTTTACTTTTCCTGTGCCAGGATAAAACACCCCAACAGAACAGTAGGTGGTACCAAGGTCAATGCCAATCACTTTAGGGGTAGGCAATGGTAAATACTGTTGTGCCAAATAGCCAGCCAATAGGAGGGTCAAAACAGCTGATCCTGAAATACAAGCAAATTAAGAGATGTCTTATCAAGCTAGTACAATTATGCCAACATACAAGAGTCCCTTTAATATCCATCTTTGAAACAATATAATCAAATTTTATTCTTTGATAAGATAAACCAAAAGGGTAAACCTGCAAATTTTATTCCATGATCAGACTCCTAGATAAGTTTCATAAAATAAACTGATCTTAAAACCAAGTGAATGAACAACAAAACCATAAACAAAAACCCTGTGTGTGCTTCATTTCTAGGTGAATAAAGGAATCCAAGTAAAACCACTTCTGAAGCAGCTGTGGCTGATGCTGACAGAAAACGCCATTCATCTGTAGGAACGAACTTACAGTATTTGTATCACTGTAATACTGTCCTCCCATTGTTCGATTTTCTCAGGGGGCATCAGTAACATCTCCATTGTGAGACTTGCTACTGTTTTTGGCACATTGAATATGCCAAGGGTAGCTTGCCAGACTTTGCAAAGTGGGCGGAATACTCTCAGTAGCTTGCCAGGCTCTCCAAGAGGGGCGGAGGAATCGAATCCTGGTCGCCCAGGTTGGCAGCCTGCAAGGCAAATGCCCTACCCACTATGCTATCATGCTCCGGTTGGTAACATATTAAGTAGAAACTTCTTATTAAAATTCCCATAGTAAAAACTGTGACTGTGAAGAAGCTCTTTATCCCTTTATCTTTTTCCCATTGAAGAGAATCAAACAGAGAAATGATAAAATTATCTTCTAAAATCTGCTTAAATTTACTTCATAATATGCCAGCACAGTCCACTATTTTTCGGTATTTCAATGTTAAGTAGGGAGCTCGAGGGATAGTACAGTGGGTAGGGCGTTTGCAAGCGGGTAGGGCGTTTGTCTTGCACGCAGCGGACCCAGGCTGGATCCCTGGCATCCCATATAGTTCTCCAAGCACTGCAAGGAGTAACTCCTGAGTGCAGAGCCAGGGGGAACCCCTGAGCATCGCTGGGTGTGACCCCCCAAAAAAAGCAAAAAATAAAATGTGAATTAGGGGTATACTTCTTGGGAAGGTAACGCGCAGAAAATGAAAAATATAAAAAGGGGTAACTAGAGGCAACAAAAATGAAAGCTCCTTGAAGACTCATTTTATTCTCATACCCCTGAACCAGACTGATTCCTGCAAATAGCAGATCCAACCCCACCAAAATAATAAAATAACAATAATAATAATAATAATAATTATTATTATTATTATTATTATAGTCAAGGACAACAGTGAGTATGGAACAAAGCCTTAAGAATTGTAAATACTGGGGCTGGAGCAATATAGCACAGTGGGTAGGGTGTTTGCCTTGCAAGCGGCCGACCCAGGTTTGTTCCCCAGCATCCCATGTGGTCCCCTGTGCACCATCAGGAGTAATTCCTGAGTGCAGAGCCAGGAGTGACCCCTGTGCATCGCAGGGTGTTACCCAAAAAGCTAAAAAAAAAAAATTGTAACACATCACAACAGAATTTTTTTTTAATTTATTTTTAATTTTGGTCACAAAGGGCTGCGTTACACATCCCTCTGCAGTCACCTATGTCGATGGCTGGCACAGAGAATTCAAAGACGCCAACGTGTAGCCCTGGCACGGTTCGACCCCATTCTCGTGCAGCGGCCAAACAAAAGACCATCAGGAAATCGCGGGCCAACCCCACTTCTCTGGCTCCTTCGCTGCGAAATTTCAAAATCATTTCATCCCCCGCGCGAGCTGAAGGCGGTCTCGAGCCCCCCAAATCCAGCAGCCGCCGCCACGGGCCCTCTCCTCCGCGGCCGCAGAGAACCCCGAGGGATGAACCTCAACTCAACCCGGTTCCGAACCCACCGTGGGCAGCTCGCCCGCCTTACCCCGGCCTCCTCCGGCCGGCGATCGCCACCCCCCACCCCACCCCAATAGGCGACCCCCAACTCTTGAGTCCCCTTTCCTCTGCCGTTCTTCCTTTTTTTTTTTTTTGGCCAACTTGAATACACACTCCAGGAGATGCGGCTACTACCCTCGCCCGTGCCAGGCTCCCCTTCCCCCAAGCCGCCACCGAAGTCTCCCCCTCCGTCACAGACCTAAGATCGTCATCTCTCCGGCCATCACAGTTCCACCGCGGCGGCTTGGGATGACTGTCCTAGACGCCGGGGGCCGCCCCCGCCTCTGATTGGCAGCCCCGTGGCCTTCTGGGAAATGTAGTCTCCCGGCTTTGCGGAGTTGCGGCGGAAGCTCCGAGTCGGAACTTCATTGACCAGGAGGCCGCGGGGCGGCGCGCTGCTTTTCTCACGCTGTCGTGGACGACGGATTGATTCGCCCTCAGGCGCACGGGGAGCCCAGCCAATTAGGCGGAGGTGAAAGAGAGAGCAGGAGAGGATTGGCCTTGCGAATCAGCAGAACCCAAACAGCCGCTAGCCTCTTTGAGGTAAAGACTGTCCCGTCCTTTCGGCCTCGCCGCCGCTTTGCTTTCTGGGAAGTGTAGTTTCCGACCTTTCCGCTGTCTCCGAGGAAAAGCGGGGACTGCGCTGGGTCGTTGTTTGGGTTCACCTTCTTCCGAGCCGTGCTCCGGCTTCCAGCTTTTATTTCTCTGTTTAAAGTGTGCCTTAAACGTCAAGATTCTAGATGAGGGCCCGAACGATAGTACAGCGGGTAGGGCGTTTGCCTTGCACGCAGTGGACCCGGGTTCGATCCCGGGCATACCATATGGTTCCCCCAAGCACCGCCAGGAGTGAGCCAGGAGTAACCCTGTGCATCACTGGGTGTGACCCCAAAAGCGAAAAGCAAAAAAAAAAAAAAGGCTAGATGAAGCTCCCTTGTACAACCCCTTCCCTAACGTCTCTGTCCCCTAGAAGTACCCTGCTCAGAGAGGGACCTGAACCGGCTCTCTGCAAACCTCAAAGCCTTCAGTCCTCTGCTTTTGCTTGGGGGGTGGGGCGGAGGAATAAATGAATCTAAGGTCGGTGTCGTTTATCCGAGAGAGTAGGGACACATTTTCTCTCTGGTTCCTCAAAACCAAACATAAAAAGAGTACCTCCCCTCCCACCGCCCCATGCCAGCCCCTTTAACTTTCTCTTGGATTAAATAATTTGCAGCAAGAATTGCACCCACAGAAAAGTGCTGTAATATTTGATGGGATTTCAGAATGCTCGAGAAATTTGGGGTGAGGGAGATGTTCCCTAGTTTATAGCTCAGCCATTTTTTTCACACTTCTTGATCATTGGTCCTGCTTAATGTCTCCTGAGAATTGGTTGGTGGTTTGTTCCTTTACCCGAGGGAGCATTGGAACTTAGATGGACACCTGGAGGAACTTAGTTGATACTCCTGTTTCTATGCTGAAGGGTGTCACTCTGGGCGGTGCTGGGAGTCATACCCAGGTCTTCAGCATACAGAGCAAGCAAGCACCTTAGAGATTGCTTTGTCCATTTTGTTGTAAAAGTTCGCTGTAACTTCGGTTCTAGAGAACTGAAATCTCTTTCCTAACCTCAGATATAAATCAGACAATCCCTTTTGATACACAGAACAGCCTGCTGGGGGAATAAAACCACTGGCTCTCTATCTTATTTTCAAATGTCTATGAATGTTGATAGTTATTGAGGCAGAATTATGGTTAATGGTAATTGATTACAGTGTTCTTTTTTTTTTTATCTTTTCAAAACCTTTCAGAAGTTAACCTGTAAAATATAGTGTGTTGGCATTCCAAATTTTCTAATTTGGAATCAAAACACAAATCCTAGTTTATAAATATTAGATATATAGGAATTATAAGAAGCATTTATTGACGAGTCAGAATAACCAGGAGAGAAAAATATAAATGCACCAAGGTAATTTAGTATGTAGTGTATATGCAACAGGAACACAGGTCAGCGAAAGAATTGAACGAAGTGTGTATCATTTAATCCTGAAAATGAAACTTCATAAAAGAGATATGTTTAATCAATATCTAAAGACAGAGGGAGCCCAGTACTAAGTCAGTGCTAGATAGTATGAAGCAATGGGCTGGAGGCATCTGAGAGATGAGACTAGAAAAGTAAACCAAATCAGAGTTCATACTGTTGTGCAGGCATTTGGTTGTCATTCACTCTTCCACCCAACTCTCTCTCCTTGATAATAGTATCTTGGATTTTTTTCAAGAAGTAGATAGAGATATATGATTTGGGGGAAGAAGGCTTGAAATCTAGGGAAGAAGGTGAAGTAGAAATTATGCAAGTTGTCCTAGTTTTCTTTTTTTTTTTCTTTTTGGGTGATACCCGACAATGCATAGGGGTTACTCCTGGCTCATGCACTCAGGAATTACTCCTGGCAGTGCTCGGAGAACCATATGGGATGCTGGGAATCGAACCCGGGTCATCCGCATACAAGGCAAACGCCCTACCCGCTGTGCTATCGCTCCAGCGCCATATTCTAGTTTTCTAAGACAATCGGCAACCATACAGTTCAATTGATGAACCATACAGTCAAGTGTCTTAAAATATACAATCATTTTTCAATTAGGTGACAAACCTGAAATAGGTGTTACTGGATTAAATCACGTTGATACAGGTGCATTTTCTTTGCAGGGATTTTAGTGGAGAGTTGTTTTCTCATTTTGCACCCAAAATTCATCTGTTTGCTTGTCTGCAATTTTGGTAGTTGTAAACTGGGATTGTTTACTGTAAACTATTGAGGCATAAATATACCTTAGCAAATACCTACTCTGTCTTCAAAAACCAGAAACTTTATATTGTCTCTTGGTGATGTATCTACTCTGTCTTCAAAACCAGTTCATTCTCAAAAATATTTTACAGATAATTTAGAGGAGTGTTTGTCAACATTTTTATAATCATGTCCCATTTCAACCTATTCTACTTCTTGTGGCCTCTGATCTATCGGTTGGCAGCCCCATCCTCCTATTGGTTCCCTAGCCTCAGCAGTAGCCCCTAGTTGAGAAACCTTTTAGAAGTCATGTTATTAGGGTATGGAGAGATAGTACAGTGGACAGGGCACTTGCATTGCATGTAGCTGATGTGGGTTCAGTGTATATGATATTGAATTGAAAATCACATGGATTGGTATGATATCATGATCAACTAATATGATACCTGAAGCCCATCTGGGAGTGATCCCTGAGCACAGAACTAGGAATAAGCCCTGAACACAGTGGGTTGCAGCAAAATTGAGAGAGAGCGAGAGAGAGACAGAGACAGAGAAAGACAGAGAGAGAAAGAAAGGAAGGAAGGAAGGAAGGAAGGAAGGAAGGAAGGAAGGAAGGAAGGAAGGAAGAAAGAAAGAGAGAGAGAGAGAGAGGAGGGAGGGGAGGAAATGAGACTAGCTGATTAAATTGAATTCACTTGAATAATCTATGATACTCTCCCCATGGGATTCTCCTGGCCTTGCTTAGGAGCACCTAGATGGTGCATAAGAGTGAACCTGGGTAAGTCACATTTGACATACCTGCTGTACTATCTCTTCAGTGCTCACAATGTAGTCTCTAATCTTTTTTAATATTGTTTTATGTCATTCGCAATGAAACTTGTTATTCAATGATAACTTTGAATAAAGGTGATTTTAGTTGTGAAATTAAAATTCATTTAAACTTTAAAAATAACGTTTTTCTGAACAACTAATTATGAATTATGAATTTATGTTTATTTGTATGTGTTATTATATAATTATATATTAAAGTTTGTTTAAATGTTTAAGGAAAGATAATATTTTTAAAGTCTATAATGCTTACTTTACATATATTAAAGGTTTTAGTACCATAAATACATTCACGGAATATTTTTTTTAATTAGTGAAACACCATGATTTACAGTTGTAGACTTACAAACTGAGTTTTTAATTTCATCTTCTGAATGCTTTATTTGTGACACTTCTTTTTGTAATTTTTTATTTCTGCTCTCATTTCTTCCTGTATTTTCTCAACTATCTGATCCTGTTTCTTTCATTTCTTCCTTTAATTTTCTGAATGTCTGCTCCATTGATTCTTTGTGTTCCTTGAACATCATCATTATTTCATCTCAGAATTCTTTATCGGAGAGGTTGTATTTGTGGGTAACCCCTGTTGAGGATTTGGGACTCTTTTCTTTGTCCTCTCCTCTTAGTGGAGATTTGTTGTGGTTGTATAGAGGTAAAACCTTCACATTCACTAACACTGTTCCCTCTTACTGCGGAAAGGATTCTGAATAAAGCCGGTCAATGGTGGTCACCCTTCTCCCCTTCTAGACTATGTCCTTTCTCTCATACTTTATTCTGTGGCTTATGACAGGCATCTAGTGAAGCACTGGAGGAGATGCTCTTTTATATTGGGCTTGTACAGCTTCTTGCGTACACAGGTCTTCTGTTGGAATTGGAGTAGGCTGGTGGATTATTGTTGTATTGTGTTTCAGGTGGCCAGGACGTTTTCCACAGAATTAGGTGTTGAAAGTTGGGATGTTAGTCCAGAGTGCTGGGAGTGGGAAATATACCTGTGGCCTCACAGAAGGCCACGCCCACTCTGAGGAGGTCACACCCCCAACAGTGGAGGTCACACCCACTGCAGGTCTGGATGATGGTTCACAACAGACCTGTTGAGAGGAATGGAGGCTAGTTGGGCTGGCGCTTGTGAGTGGAGGTGAAGGCAGGTGCCCCCAGGCCATGGAGTATGTTTTAAACAACTTTTCTAGATAAGAAACTGATTTAGAGAACCAGCTAAGCCTGTATTTTTAATGTAAATGTCACTTAAAACTTTTGCTTCTAGTAGCTCTAGATTTCAGACAATAATTATAAGCGTAAATTAAGCTTTGATTTCATATATTTAATTATGCCAGTGATAATAGCAATTCAGTAGTCTAATCCTCTTTGTTTCTTAATCCATCAAAAGAATATGTAGCCACAACAAAATCATTTGCTTTTAGAAATGACTTTTGAGCATGTGAGCAAAATTGTCTCAGTACTTATTATTTTACATAGCAGAACTGGAACAGTAGTTACTATAAATAATATATTATGGCAGGATATATTATTTTTAAAGGTAATTTTCTATTCATTTTTACCAAAGAAAACCTTAGAAAAGTGGTATGTTCCAAGTTTTTGATTATTAAAACACAAAATTTGGCCTTGAACTTTGGCCTGACATAAAAAAGATATCCAGTATAGATGGAATGTATGATAAATTTTAAGCACAAGCCT